AATATCTTTTGAAATAATTAATTCTCGACCTAAGTATCCTAATACTTTTTTATAGGAAATAAAGAGAGACATATGGTGATGCATAGAAACTGTATAGTTCCATAAAAAAGATAAGAGATGACCTTGATACCATTGAAACGCCTCCACTTTCGGAATAAACATACACCTACCTAATGAAATATTTTTCTATCTCTTCCTGTTTAAGAGTTGTAGCCTGACCCATTTGCGTGAAACATTTCGAAATAAATATATACTAATCGTTATGAGTGGTAGCAGGTCTTGCAATCATTGTTCTTGGATATTCCCCATTTTTCGTCGTATATCTCAATGTTGTATAACTACAAAACTCAGAAAAATGTTTACAGAACACACGCATAAAAATTCAGAAAAACAGGTTAAACTTAAAATTCGTTAAAGCTGACATTTTTTTTTTCTGCGGGCCCTTTAAATGCTTGCAAGACACATTTTTCAAGGACATACAGGAAGACATATGTATCCGATAGGTACGTGCAGGCAATAAATTTTAGTATTAAAAAAGGCAATTACTTGCAGTGGCGAGAGGTAATTCATTGCGTTGTTCAGTATTTGTAATGCTATGCAGCAAAATAAGGAAATCTCATTACTTCTTATTTCTATCGTTATTACTTGTGTACTCGTTTTCTAACATCACTCGTGTCCCCCGATTAATTTTAATAACCAAGATTCTGCTATATTTGAAATAGAATCCTTGGACGCGCGCTGAAGATTTCGAAATGAAGAGACGTCGATTCGCAGCTACCCCTTTCTGTCGGGGAGTCAGGAGCGTTTTGCTTCGAGTTTTCAGTCGATAAGAAGACGGTCGGCTAGCGACCCCTTAACCTTCCATCGACAATATCTACCCTACCGACTCAAGCACGAAGTAACCTTTCGTTCGATGCGAACAACAGCGACGACATTATGCAACTGCAATGATACACCAACTATGTATTGGTGTCTGGTCGATGTTTATTCGGCAGAGGGGGGACAACTCCCATCCCTCGACCTCTAGAATGTTAACGGGACTCCCTTGTAACTCCTATACATTGACGGTTATCGTGTGAACTGCATTACAGATTACGAGACGGTAAGGTAATAGTAATTGCAATCATTATGCAAATACCAAACAGCGCAATCAGTTACCTCCCTACACTGCGACGGTATCGCTCAGCCTTCTTATGCTGGATGTCATTTTTCCTTCGACGCGAATGTTATTCAAAATACACGAAACGACGTAGCTCGTTAGGTTTCAGTCCGCGACGGGTATACAAGTTGACGCATTTAAAGTAGACTAACCGAACTGCTACGGTATTATTAGGAATAAAAACAAAAGTTTTGAATTCAAATTTCTTTGGTTTTCGAGCAATAAATATTAATTGAATAATAAAATTTCGGGTAATAGATATTAATTTCAAGTTGATAAGAAAGGACAATTAAAGCAGAAATGTCCCAAAAATCTGGATTAAAATGAAAGGTTCCGTGTCAGAATGTAAAATAACTACATTATCATTTTTCCATTCGATTTTGATCATAAGAAGAAACGTCGATTATAAAAATGCTTTCAGAGAAGACGTCCAAAATGTTTCATCCAATAATGGCTCGTGTGCGTGTCTTTCGGACGTCCTGGGTGACAGAATCGTTCGTTGGAGATAAATCGACAGACAACCAAGGGCCATTCATTTCCGTTTGCGAAAATGCATCAATCCATTAATATTTCATATTCCCCATAAGATACGGTCCCAGGGACACTATTCATTTATATTGCTCAGTGCGTACGGATCGTGCCAATACTTGATCGTCCCTCCCAGATCATTTGTCATGACTGTGTATGCCCGCGTGCGTTAAGTATATCCAATCATATTGCACGCCATTCTTGCATTCGTCATGGAATCACACGACACTGGTTCGCGGTCAGCGTAATTACCAGCGTATGTAATTACTTTTCGCGCAAAAAGTAAAACAGTCATTTGGTTAAAGTCAACTTCATGGCTGACGAATTGTCTGTTGTCGCCTAATGGATTGCCCTACTGGAATATGCAACATAGTTCGAAAACATTGTTACATTTTATCAAACTTTGAACAGAATCTACAGTGGCTCACAGTGAAAATCGCCCACCACATTCGCTTTCTTAATTTTGGCTAAAATATGCATTATATGGACATGAAATTTTTGTAATTAACGTAATAATGTTTCATCTCTATTGTTACTTATTCCCATATAAAAAAAAAAACCAAATATTAGCAAATATATGAAACAAAATGAATATATGTAATTACATCTATGGAATTTGACTCACGCTATAATATTTGGGGATTCCCCTAACTAACCTGTTCAACTGTTTTCCCCCTTTTTTCGATGGAATCTCAAAGAAAACAAACAACAATGGAGATACGAAAATTAATAATTTTTCATTATAATGAAGGTAAATCTCAACGTGAAATTGCACGAATTATAAATAGAAGTCGTACTACAGCAGAATACATTCTTAAAAGATATAGAAGTGAAAACCGCGTATGAAACAAAGTAAAAACAAAATAAGAAGAAAATTTTAAACGATCATGATGAGCGATACATTTTGCGACAAATTAAGAAAAATTCCAGGAAAAGTGCCCCACGAATAGCTGCAGATGTTGAAATACATTTAAATAAGAAGGTGCACCCAGAAAACATTCGTAGCAAACTACGAATCCATCACTGCAAAGAACAAACTTAATAGAATCGAATTCGCTCAGAAGAACATTAATCAAGGCTTTTCGTTTTGGAAAAACGTTCTTTTTGCAGACGAAAGTCAATTTCACATTTTCGGTTCAAGTGGGAGGGTCACAGTCTGGAGGAAACCGAACACAGAATTAAATGTAAAGAATATCACCCCCACAGTTAAAAAAGGCAGCGGTTCTGCTATGATTTGGGACTGCATGGCAGCCAACGGTGTCGGCACATTACATTTTATTGAGGGGAATATGTACAGATGGATGTACATAGATATTATAAGGAAGAATTTGAAAGAAAGTGCCGAAAAATTAGGGATTTTGAATAGATTCCATTTTTATCAGAACAACGACCTTAAGCATAAGTCTGCAATCGTTCGGGAATGGTTACTCTATAATAGCCCGAAGCTAATTGAAACACCACCCCAGTCGGCGGATTTAAATGTTATTGAGCATATATGGTACGAATTAGAGACAAAAATTCGGCAACATTTCATAACAAACAAGGAACAATTAAAAGAAGCGTTGAAAATAGAATGGAATGAAATTTCTTCTGAATATACCGAAAAATTAGTTAAATCGATCAATAGGCTTAGAGAAGTAGTGAATAGTAAAGAAAACCCGACCAAATATTAGAAATAAAACTTTTTATAATTAGTGTTTAAGTTTTTGATTTATAACTAGATGGACGATTTTCATTGTGAGGTTCATTTCGTACACGTACATTTAAAATGCTGTAATGCAATTATTAGTTTACAAAAATTTGTATTTTTGAGTTATACCAACAGTGAGCCACTGCATAAAGATTTCTGTTTTTAATTAAAGATTTTCAAAAATAGATTCTACAATGTACATGTGTGAGATAGCAATTTTGAACAACGATGTGGTAATCAGAATTATTTAGAAAACGTTGCCTATACTTGTAACCGTAGAACATTTAAGATCTTAAAATTTATTTCTATCGATGGTGTTGCCTGAAAAAATTGATATGTTGGCTAAAGATGTTGATAATTAAAGTATGGTATTAAGTAAAACCACAGATTAATAGATAACCCTTTATAATGTTTAATTTGTTATATATATGAAGTTTCTTATCATTCTTTCCCGGAAAGTTTAATTATTGTTACTATTTACCAACTGGACGAAATTAGAATTTCGGGAAACGAGCTTATATTTGTGAAAGACGAAGCCCGAGGCCGAGAGACCGACGCGGTAATATATGAACAATATTTTTAATTGTTGGCGTTAAAGTGAGCTTCCATGCTTTTTTCTCTTTCGCGTGACATACCTACGACCGAGGGTCAGAATCGCCCCTGTCACGTTTTCGGTCGTGCCCTCAGAGTTATTTATTTCACGCTTAAAGAATCACCCACCGTCCATATCAGTGTTATCCGACATTGTATGTAGTCGACTTTGGGCAAACTGTCTTCTGCAAGTACAGTGGAAATCCACGCACGGTCGCATGAAGCTGCCAGAATTATATTATACATCGTGTAAACACGAATTTTCAGGAGTTTCAAAAATATTCCATTGCAGATGCTCAAATCTCGGTACTTCGGAGTCAAACATTGTACGTACAATGTCGCTCAAAAGTTTGAAACACCCTTCGACCATTATGAAAATAAAGCTTTTTTAAATAAAGAAAAGACATCAGGTTCACACAAGCAGATGTTCATTAACGTTTCGACACTACAGTGCGTAGCATAAATATACCAACCCGTCTATATTTAAATATTTTGACAGATTAGGAAAAGATTATGATGATGCAGCACCTTAGAATAATGTATGATACTATTTAAGTAAATAAAACGAAAAGAATTATAATACTTTAGTGTATATAATAGAAATGGTTATGTAAAAACCTAAAATACTAAGTTTCAAGCGTTTCATTAATATACCAACCTATAACATTTTTATTATGTTTCCAGCAATTGGATTGTGTTTTCTTTTGTTTGCCTGTCATATGCTTTATTTGGCGTCTTTAAGAGTCCAGTGTGTTATTTAGGTTAACAAAAATTGTAATATATAAGTGTTATAAAGATTGAAAAGGAAAATACCTAGTGGCAAACAACTGTCAGATACAGAAAAAGCCATGATTGAAGCTTTTCGAATTGAAGGCAAAGGATACTACACCTCTATGTATAGCGAAAAAAATGGGTCGTTCAAAAAGTGCAATTGCCGATTATGTTACTAAAAGGCGTAATCATGAACAGAGAAAACGTCCAGGTCGTCCTAAGAAACTATATCCTCGAGACGAACGAAAAATAATTCGAGTGGCTTCTAATTCTACAAGCTGATCGATATTAAAAACGAGTGCAAATTAAACGTTTCTAAGTGCACTATACATCGAAGTATTTTAAGATTTTCACATATTATTAAGGCAAAGATGATATTGGCACCAAGATTAAAAAACGCCGACAAAGAAGCAAGACTTTCGTTTGCTAAAGCAAATATCAACACAGATTGGGAAAAGGTAAAGATCTCTCTTACAAAATGAATGGTGCACTTTATCCATAAAATTTTGTTTCTTAGATTATCTTCAGTGATGAAAAGAAATTTAATCTAGACGGACCCGACGGATTTAATTCTTACTGACTCGATATACGAAAGGAAGTAAAATATTTCTCTAAACGCAATTTTGACGGTGGGTCAGTGATGATTTGGGCGCGCTTCTCAATCCATGGCAAAACTTCCATAGCTTTTATTTCAAGTAAAATGAACAGCATGGATTACACAAAAATGTTAGAAAATTATTTAAAACCCTTTTGAGCAGAAAACGATGATTAAAATTTAATTTTTATGCAAGATAATGCAGCTAACCATAGATCAACCCACACGTTAAACTGGTTTGCAGAAAATAATATCCCTCTTGAAACTGGCCTGCACGTTCCCCTGATGCCAAAAACCTATTGAAAATTTGCGGGGAATTTTAATTAGGCGAGTTTTATGTAATAATCAACAATTTGCGAATGTACAAGAATTGAAACTTGCGATTATTGAAACTTGGAATAATATAGATAAAAATATTATAAAAAAACCTTATTGTAAGTATGCAAAATCGAATTTTCGAGATAATTCGTAGTGGTGGAAACGTAATAAATTATTAAATTTTTGTTTTCGTATATAAAATTTAAAATAAAATGAGTTTTGTTTTCAGTTGGTATATTTATGAAACATACATATATTAAACAGTATTTCCGTCATTTAAGTCATTAATTACAATAAATTAACGGAACTGCTTTTGACTATTTATTTTTATAGTACTATCTAGGAACAGAAAGTGCTATTATAGCTTAATTTATTTCCAAAAGATCAAATTCCTTACATTTCAAAGAGTTGGTATATTTATATTTCGAAAGCAGAAACTACATAAGACTATGCAGTGGCTAATAAAAAGAATATGGTACCATAAAATTCATGTAAAAACTTTTTCCGCTTTATTTCGATTCTATGAAAATGTTACAATATATATGTATGTTTTAAAATTCGTTCGTTAATGAAATGCAATTTATCGTAAACATTTTAAAAGAAAAATTATATACGAAATACACATTTAATTAATTTATTTGTACAGATATCCATTTTCTAAATGAATGTTTAGAAAACAATTTCTTTCCTTTCCCAAATATAACTTCATACTTCACTTGATAAATGCAGTTTATGCATTTTATTCTAGAAAAAGAATTTTATATATGTAACTAAAAATATGATAATGTCCTACGTCAGGCGTTCCAAACTCATTCTAGCCCGAGGGTCAATATGCACTTTACTACCAAGTCACGAGCACAGATATACAATTATTATACAACAGTCAATAGTGTGTTATATATCTGACTTTTTTAGTTGTATTAACGCTAGTCAATATACCATCGTGTTAAAAGGAATCGTATGTAGAATCGATAAAAAAAAACCATAATTCACACGGTTTCTTATAATTAAACTGAATGATTATTAATAAATATTCAAAATGTAATTGACGTTGTACGTGCACTCGGTAAGAACAAGACGTTGTTCTAAGACTTTTCGCCATCTTTCGGATTACCTCTAAATTCATTAGCGTAAAGATTTTCGTATTTGTCGTTGAAAAAATCAAATGCATATAGTTCATCATATTTTAGCGTTCCTGGACGCTGTTGATACATATTTTCCATAGCAATATTTTATTTACAATTGTCTATTTAAATATTACGTGAAATAATTAATTTAACTATGAATCAAATTCGTTAGAACTCCTTGTTGTATATGGATCTCCGTTTAAATTCTTTAAAATGTATCCATTCTTTGTATGCTTTTATTCATCAGTGAAAATCAAATTCGAATCGACTTTGTTGGATCAATAACTCAGTCGGTACGGACAGAAACGCCTTCTTCTTTCGTCATTTCAGACATAACCTGGACATCACAATTGTATACTATGGGTACTGATCTCGAGTATTTCTGATAGGTAATACGCGATTGCTATCATAACAAGCTTTGGCCACCACTATTATACCCATATTGCTACGCAAATCAGTTTTTCCTTTCAAAGGAAGCCACAACCGTCCGGAAAGCTAACTCGCAACGAACTTTCTTTCACTATTACGCGAAACCCGATCGAAAGAAATGGAATTCAGGAAACGACGTGTCAGAAAGAGTTTGTATCAGATTCCTATACACGTTAAACGCAACTCGTACCTACACAATGCAGTCCATCGGAAGCAGTCGTCTACTACTTCCGCTATCTGGCTGCAGCACGACTGTCTGACGGCTTCCCCTACGTTTCATCCCGACGAAATTCCGACGTATCCGCGTATATTTATTCGACCTTATGGTAACCTACGACAGCCTTTTTCTGCGAGGAAATGCCGCACGGGAAAGATGACTTCCATTTGCAAGGAAAGGGGAACGAATAACCTGTCGTACACTTGAATCGGATTAAAATGGCTACAACGTAGGCTATTATACCTCCATTTAGACGCTTTTACGCAAAGGGGGTTCGCGAATGTCGCATGAAAAATCAAACTTTAATTCGCAATTTAATGACGGTAGACGGTTACGAAAACCTTCCGTGCATACAAAAGAATTAATGAATTACTACTTAATAGAATTGTTACTCTTTACTCCGTACGTGTCTAGAATTTTCTATACAAAATAATAATGATAGTTTAACACTAAATCTACGTCGACCGGTGAAATGACCGTTTTTTAAATTTTCTTTACAATTTCTAACGCACAATATTATTTTAGCACCTTTTAATTTCAAGACTTTTCTTATAGTATACGTACAATGCATTTCACAATATTCACTTCTATTCTTATTGTTTGTTTTCTGAGAAAAATATGTAGTCTCTTTTGCATACCAAGACCGGTCATTTGACTGGTTGAATAATTTATATTTTTCTGTAAAAAACTGAACAGAAGTTCTCTCCATAATTGAGCCACCGGTAGCAGCGGTAAATCTTCCTTTTTAAAATGGCTTTTGGATTTTGTCGATCCAATTTGCCGTTTTCGAGATATCGTAATTTATGTAAACTGGTACTTTTCTTAATTTGACTATCTCCGTCTTCGTCTAACGCGTCGCATCGTACCTCTTTGTCTCGTACGTGACCGAGTGGCCGAGTGACCTAGTTACTACGAGCACGTGCGGTCAACGACCTTGAAAAGGCCGTAGTAAGAATGTAAACAAACGCCTTGAACCCTTATATCTCCGGAACTAACCACCGCACCGACTTGAAACTAAAGTCGTCATATCCCCGGAACTAATTGAGCTATCGACTTATTCGAATGCTCATTTTAAAGGGGATTTCATCCTCTATCCAATGACTATACCAGCTACTATAATTCTTGCTGTCTTCTATGTTCATTTTCACATTTACTTTGGCTACATACCCAAAGTAGTTTCAGCACTTTCTATTGATCATACGACTGGTGTGCCATAAAACTGGATCATAAATTGTTTATTTAATTGAAAATGAATTTAAATTTGTATACAGGGTATTTGCATAATTACTATGCCATTTTTTTCGTAAATAATTGTTTTCTCTGAATTTAACTACATATCGACTTGAAAGAAAATTTGTTTTCAAGAGCGTTTTATCTTCTATCCGATGAAAATTACTAATTTATTAATACTATTAAAGGAATAATGCACGTTTAGAGTAAAAATATTGAATATTTTTGTGCAGGTTCTTAGAATTCAATGCTTTAAGAAAAAGTATGCGACATAAAAGAGGATATCTTACGAATAAACATCAAAACACAACTTTCTATACATATAATGCAAAAATTGGAAATACGTTGCCTCGTAAGAGAGAAAAAGGAAGACTGGTCATTTGACCGGTCATGGTAGGAATGGGTATACATGAAGTGCCGGTATGTTTAGTGTTAAACACAAAGGGCTGAAAAATTACAATGAAAGAGAATTTTAGCATATAACTGTTGCATCGATTAGAGTTTTAGACAAGCAAGAAATGCGGAAATTAAAGCACTGCAATTTACGAAAGATGCCAAAATTGTCAAAAAAAAAAGAAGAAAACTATCATTCATGAGAAAATGCAAGGTACTAGAAGATACTAAATATGACCCAGAAAAAATTTGTCGCGTAAAAGTTTAAACTCTTTGTGAAAACACACGTTTTGGAGACTGCTTTCAATATTTTTTCACGCCATACACCTAATCCGAATTATTTGAAGAGTGGTTTAAAAAAATTGAAGTGGTAAGCAACTCGTTAATTCAGCCTTGAAGCCGAAACGCTTTCAATAGCCGAGAAAGATGAGTTGGCGTGGCTTTGACGTATGAAAGACGTCGAGTGCGGTTTCGTACGGTAGTGTCGTCGATTCGTCTTCCCTTGGTTTTCATCATTGGCGAATCCTTTTCGTTCTACAATACTCCGACGCGTTGTATAAATGGTGCACGTGTTTGGCAGCCGTCCGCTAGCCACGCTACATCGTTCTTGCAGTAGATTGCTCTGTTCTAGGGTCTCTTCGATTTATCAATTGACTCCTTCAGATTTCTCTCCATTTTATCTCGTTGGGAAAATTCGATCTTGAAGCTTCATTCCCTAACACATCTATCAACTGGAATTCTCTACACCTGAACGAGAATGACGATTCGTCTTTGTAACAATCCGTGATTACTATTTGAAACACTTTCCAACGTTACAACTTCTACTTCTAGACCATTTCTTATTCAGATAAAAGTTTCAAATAACAAATATAAAATAAACATCTATTTATTCGTAACTCGTTAAATGAAAATAAAAGTTTTGGTTAGGTTTTTCATGGTATGGTGTTTTAAATAAATGTATGTGGGATTTAAAATTAAGCGGATGCGGTGATACAAAAACTTATGATACTACTGATACAATCAAACTCTTTATTATGCTCGGTGTTACACTCGTGAAAAGACTCTGTGTCTCGTCAGCTGTTTAGCTTCTTATTATACTATTGTCGCGTTCCCAGGGGTTATCGCACCTTCCGCTATCTCACTCACTTATTCACTCTCTCTCTATTTCACTCTTATCCTCGCGATCGTTCACTCGTCATATGGCCAGTATTTTGAAAACGCGACGCTCGCCTTGTTATTACCGGGCCATCGCGCAACCGTCTCGCAAAAACGTGTGATTTTCAATGTTTTTTTTTACATTCAAAGCAAATGTTAGAAGCTTGTAAATTATTTAACAGTAATACAGATTTTGAATTCCAAATCAACCCGTCTGCGCGTCATATTTACCTTTTTGGGAATCAAATTAACCTTGTAGGTAACTTAAAAGTGAAGTAATACAATGTGATTTTGCCGTTTCTTGTGATTTTATTCATTGGCACTCGATAAGTGACCAATTAATACTTTCAATATTAAATAAATATTTTATGTTATTTTTTGTTTAAGTATTATTACATGCATGCAATAAAATCATAATTTCACAATAATAACTTTACATCGAATTTTTATTTTTATTACGATGGCTTGAGAAAAATGATTTTCAAAAGTGTCAACTCAAACTGCGAAAGTGTGAATTTGATTTGCAATAAGGTGAATTTAAACTGTAAAAAGGTAAATATAATCAGCAAAATAGTTAATTTTTGTAGAACAGAATTTGTTTACGAGTGATGCGTCACAGTTTACATACGCTATGATAATAATAAACATCGATCGATTAACTAACAATAATGTTTGTACCAAAACTATTAGTATTACTAATTCAAAAACTGATTACGCGATCATACATATTTTTTAATTGTCTCTTTTATCTAAATTTAAGATCCCTGTAAGTTAAGGACCCGAAGGAAATATCTCGGTTGACCTACACTGCGTTGGGGTCAGATTTTAAGCACAAGCTTATTTCTAGACTAATTTTTCAATTCCAAGCGCTGATCCAGATGCTCAGAAGGTGTTATTAATATAAATTACATCTTTCCGTGGGCAACGAGCGAAATCATTTCAGGGAATCCTGATTGCCACCACATGCGGGTGCGTTTAAAGTCGTACTAATTAACACGGCAGCGATTCAAGATGTCGGCACTGCACGGCGGAATGGGTTGAGACGGTAGAAGTCTTAAGACGGCGTGTTCTCTCCAGGGAGCCAAGTGTTAGGAGAATTAACAGCAACCCCTGATCTTGGCCCTCTATGCTATCTCCCTAATAATAAACTGGTAATTCCCAATGCCCCTATAAGTTACTCCCTTTCAACGCCACAATAACCTACGAGTGTTAAGACATATTGTCTATCGGGTTCTCACTATTTGTTCTGTCACATGCACGGCTCTAGCGATAATTAGTTCATTGATAGATGTAAAAGGAGAGAGTCGGTGCGAAGTGAGCCTTGAAACTGAAGTGGGTCGAAAGTACGAAGCCTATCGAATGTTCAGTCTTGTATAAAATTCCTCTAAATAAACAAAATCTTTTGATGGATGTCTACGCTGATATTAAATTTCTGTTTTCTTAATATCCCTGCTTTGACTACGATATGAAAAAAAAAGAATATAATACACTTACGAAACGTAAATCGAAGTAACGAGGACGCGAAGCAACTCGTGGTTAACGAACCAGAATTGTTGATTAATCGACGGTTTCTAATTTATTCCGTGAAGTAAGCAAACACTAGGGGCAAGACAGAATTTCCAGATTCCTGACCCAGGTTTACCGCGATGGAATATTGATGATCACGCGTTTTGCATATGTACCCTCTTCCGGACATTTAGCGAAACTCCGTCGACCGGAAGGTAATTCGCAGTTCGAATGAATTCGTCATGATTTCGTGAGCAATGTTCACCCGTTACATTGTTACAGACCCAGCACACCTTCATCATAGAAATCCACCGCGGTTTGCAAAGTACCTTGTTTTCGAACTGGATTTTCGCGGTGGAAAACGATAGAAAGAGTGAGACAAAGTGAAAATGAAAGAAAGTGAAAGAGAACACGGAATAGCAAACTTCCGACAGGATCGCTTATCCATCCACTCAAGAATTGCTTATAAGGAACATCACCTAATTAACAATTTACGATTTTTATGAAATTTGACAGACAGAAAATATTAAAGATATATATAAATTTATATTTAAGATGCTACAGAGGGAATAATAAACGAGAAATTAAATGACAAATTAATCATTATTTATATACTATTTAATCACTGATACCGAATATGGTAGAAACAGCAAATCTTACAGGTGGTCAAATACTTAAAAGTATAGTATGCTCATTTGTTCACTATGTCCCATTCTATAATAATTATTATATACAAAATGGTCCACATAAATCTTTACAACTACAGGTCTTAAATTATATCGATTTAAAGGATCTTCGAACTGAAATGAAAGTTAGTCCTCCAATCTCTGTTGCGCGAGACAAACGCGAAATAACTTGAAAAATTCTTCTAAAAAAAATATATTTTTTATATTCTATGCCAAACATTTGTTTACCCAATTCTTTGATTAAAAAACATGACGTTTTGAAATTTCAATTTATAGCTACATGAAGCATTGACGAAATTAAAATTGCAACACTACTCTCTAACTAAATTATTATTACTTTTTGAAGAAATTATGTCTACTTTGGAAATTCGTTTCAACAATAAAATATAATTGAACATTTCAAATTTGTAAGGATACTATATAGTTGAAATTACTTACACATATAGTGTGAGCCCAGAAATATACATTCAATAAATCTAACCATTTGGTCGAAAATGGACACTAAAAAGCAACGAGAAGCATCTTATTGCGAGCGAAGGACTTGTTCTCCTGTATTTAGCCGTAGATATCTGCTTCGTAGATTAGGAATGAAGGGGATAGTAACGGTGGCCGATAAATTTTCTGGCAACTGTCTCTTACTTGTAATTAAACGCACAATTTAAACGGGCCGTTAACGTCAGCATGCCCAAACCAAAGTGTCTCCTCTTGGTAAGTGTTCTTAGAATCCTAGCCTAATGTTAGTACCAATTGAGTCTTGTCTCGTAACGCGTAAAGAACCAGTATAGCCACTATTTAGGTGACCAAAATATGCCTTCAAAGTTTTTCCCGCTTTTCCAAGGCGTAATACTGCATTTCATATTTATACAAAATTCATTCCATAGGTTTTGCACTCCAAATTAACCCTTTCGTAAATCGAATTCCCCTTTTTTGCACTATAAATTAATGCAATTTCTACAAATCATATTCATTTTTTCGCAAACAAAATTCACCTTGAAGGTGACTCAAAAGTGAAGTAACACAATGTCATTTCATCATTTTTTGTGATTTTATTCTTTATCAACAAGCTAGCACTCTAAATATGACCAACTGATACTTCTAATGTTAAATAAATGTTTTATGTTTCTTTTTGTTTAAATATTATTGTAAAAATAATAACTTTGCGCAGCTTTATCCCAGCACCTTTATTCTGTATGTTTACAATCTTGTAGCTCAAGAGCGACTAAGGGTACAATATAACGTTACATGTTTGAATATCCAACAATGGCGCCGTTGTCTCTAATTACATATATGTGTGTGATTTCCTACAATTATTACATACATGCAATAAAATTTGTATTTCGTAATAATAACTTTACATCGGATTCTGTTTTTATTGCAATAACTTGAGAAAACAAATTTCTAAAAAAACTTGATTTGCAGAAAGGTGAATTTGATCTGTAGAAGGATGAATTTGATGTGCATTAAGGTGAATTTAATTTGCAAAAAGATAAATATGATAGAAAAAAGGATTAATTTTGTGAGCGAAACCTGCATAACCTAAAATATTTTTATTCTAAATTATTTGACTAAATAATTATCGAACTTCATTAAAAAGTGTGCTGTGTCGATACAAGACAAAGTAATTCATCATCTATCTCACTTTCTCATACAAAAATGCATAATAATTAAAAAATGAAAACTGTTTCATATACTTTGTCAAATAATAAAGCTTCTGGCGCGATTAATATAATTCAAGCGCTCTAATGGCCTAAACAAAAGAACCATACAAGTAAGTAAGGTTGATCGTTATTAGTCAACACGGTTCTTATACAGGGTGTTTCAGATTTCAATAGCTAAATATTATTAGTATATTCTATGGAACTAGATATGATAAAAATGTTATTATAAACATAGGCCATTTCAAACTTTATTAAAAAATTATGACAAAAATGCAGAATACGGAGGGAACAATGTAGAAATAAATTAATATTTATATTTAGTTCATTTATTCGAACAGTATTTACTGGCTGAGGTCGTCATACTTTGAAAGTAATTTTCGCCAATACTATTAGTAAATTGTTAGATTTTTATACTGAAATGCTTCAATTATTTACGAATCGAAAATCTGCAGATATGTATCTCGTTTATGGCTTCACATAGGTGGGGCCATACTTTAACCTCTAAGATTACCCAATCCCATGTCATTCGACTTTTATCAGTGGGGAATTTTAAAACAAAAAGCTTGCTAATCAAAAATAAATTCGTGTAATGAATTGATACGAAAACTTAATAACGCTTTCCATCGAATGAAATAAAATAAAAATGAAATTCGTAAAGTATCTAATAAGGACGATTTTCCACCGCTATTAACTCTGTATTTTCAAGAATTATAAACATTTTAAAACGGAGTTTTAATTTCTAGAAGTGCTAGAAGTATCATGCTAACAACACAACTAGCAGAAACAGACTAAATATAAATATAGCCGATCTGTGTCTACACGGTATCGCAGTTATTGTAAATCCCATATCGTTCTCTTCGTATTCCATATTTTTATCATTACATTGTAATAAAGTTTCCAAATACCTATGTATATATAACATTCTTTTGTTATTTAAACCCATAGAATATACTATATGTACTGACAAATTTTAGCAGTTAGAACCTAAAACACCTTGCATATTTTTTGGTGCCTACCGTCATCAATATTTGTATAGATCAATTTTTTAGAATAAGTATTGACTTATCATTTGTCCAATATGTGATATACTATGTATAATAATATACATATTCTACATGTAGATATATCAGTACACATCTAAACATTTTACCTGAACGTATCACACACAATATAATGGCATTATGTGTATCATTACAGTTTAAAATAGAAAAAAAAGAGCTGTTCGTGTAATACAGGCTAAGTACATGATTATAGTGGTGCTACGAGGAGAGAAGTAAGTAGAGAGGAGAACTGTAAGGCTAGCAAAGCGGTGCGGTGCATGTTTATAGTGAACCAGAGACCAGCGAGGTGCGAAGTGATATAGCGAACCATTTTGCTCAAAATGTCTTTGAGAAATCATCGAAAACTCGTGCTTGTTGAAAATTTTACAAGTATTACATATTAATGAACATATCTTTAAAAAAAGAGATCAGAAAATATTAAATCCATTCTATTAATAAAAATGGACTCAGAAATTAAGAATTTCATTGCTTATACCAAAAATTAAGAGAATATCTTGAAAAGTTTCAACAATATTTTCGAATGAATGTAAGAGTTTCAATATAAATAAAAATTATGATAAATTAAAAAATAAATTTAAAAAGTGATAGGACTTAAACACAACACCCCTACATGCAATATTTTGTATCAGTTTTTACGATTATATATTCCAAAATACATTTATATAATACACTAAAAAGTTTATTTAATATGCACACATACATATGTATTCATATACTAAATTTATTAACTTATTAATATTAGAAGATGTGCTGTTTTACACGCAAAAACGAACGATGTCAGGAATAATAAATGATTGAAGTATAATAACGGATACAATTAATGAAAGCAATTTAAAACAGAAATAACAGATATACATACATATATATATGTAGGTAGAAAATACTTTCGATCTTCTATTGAATGCTACTGAACATATCTGAATATTGCCGAACTACGTTGGTCTCCGGACAAACATTTTTGTTTTTAATTGCACCGCTACTATACACCGCCTTTCTCGCAACTTTTACTCACCGCTTTAACTACAAGCACTTCCATTACATTCCATTGATTTGATTTTGTCGCGATGTTCACCTCGCCGCTATCCTCGTTCTTCGCTGCTCCACTATAATTGTTAGGAACTTGGCGAGGTTTACGATACGGTCGCTTGTGAATACCGCTATTTTTGAGGATAGCTAATTTCAATTCGCTTGTTAATAGTTACAGCTAAACGAGGAGTCAGGGCCCTAAAGAATCATTACAAAAATTGAAGCAATTAGGAAGGGCCCTGCTCCGTCGTCCTCAATAGCGATTGACGTGTCATAAACCTTACAACTAGTCGCGCGGTCGAGTAACGACCTTAGTACCTGGGCACGGTCCCCGGTCGGGTGTTAGGAATTTTCCATTTCCAGGGAGGTCTAGTTTGTACCCCGACTGGTGGGCGGCAACCTAGACTAGGCGGTTTTTGGAAATCCAACCCCCGACCAGGGACGTCAACCGATTGGTCAGGTCCTTTACGCCTCATCGGCAATTTTAGTATATAAGAAGAACATTGGAAGAGTTTAGTTAGATTAGCAACATAATCATAGTTAGAAACGTTACTGTATTACTTATTGAATTCAATAAACACCAAATACACAACCATTAATTTCCTTCAAACGAAGGTGGTCCTTCGAGTTTATATTAGTCGGCACACACGTGCAAACTCAACAATTTCCGAACGAGCAACACTCGACCACGGAAAGAACAATAATCGTACTCTAAAAACAGTTTAAAATCCTTCACCGAATGATTCCATGCATGTTTCACTCCAATAATCGTCGACGATCCATCATATAAAAAATGAACACGCGATTTCATTATGCATGCATATAAACGAAATGCATTGCTCATTACAGCATTGTGGCGACCCATGCCACGTACCAGTCGAACATCTGCGATCCATCGTGACGGATAAATCACCTTGGGACAACCCTCCAATCGCGTCTCGACCATCGCCTTGCATATAGACAGTTACTAATGAGCCAACCCCATTTAATTAACCGTATATAGCTTCGACACAACTGCCAGACTATTTCCCGGTTAGCGCACCGTGCATTATCGTTCTCTTTCAATGTAGCCTGTTTGAAATGGTCGAAACAAGGACTGATTCTTCGTTACCAGCGGATTCTTACACCGGTGCATCCATGCAATCCATTTTTCCAATAATTTATCAAAAATTCTAGAGCAAAATATCCTGGAACTATTAGTAAATCGATTCCACTGTACAGTTTGTTAAATTTCTAAATCAAAGAACATCTTTGCCTCTCACTTCAGTTTCGTGTACTCTGACAAGTCAGTGGTTCCCTGCTTCTACTAATGTAATGTGACCTTGCTAAATTAGAAATTAAGATTGGGGATATTTACAACAAACTCAAAAGTTTAGAAATATCTACCAACCCAGGACATGGTGGTATTCTATCGAGATTACTTAAAGAATGTAGTTTTATACTTGTTCGTTCTATTTTAAACCCTTCTCTATCCTCTGGAATATTTTATATAAAGAAGATGAAAACTAGCCTTGTAACTGCTGACATCTGGAACTATAGCCTTATCTCTGTAATTGACATCATTCTCAAGGTTTTTGAGAGTCTACTTGTTGAATTGTTAAGGCCATCAATCACAATCATGCCTAAACAATCAACAGTTATTAATCCTGCTATATTCCAAGTTCGTCTCAAACACTTTAGAGCGGAATGACCGAGTTGTCACAATTTACACTGATTTAAAATCAGTATTTATACTGCTTTAATAATGTTTGTAACCACTGTCTTGGATCGAGACAACTGCAATCGAATAGTAGACGACAACTAAATCGTTCACAAAGACGAATAAACTATAAAGTCGATTTTCTCAAATACGGAGCTCCGGATAAAAAAATATTATACCAAATATTTTTTTTATTTTTTTCACGTAGAATCCCGGCACACCCTGTATACAAGTCTAATCGATTCTAAATAGGTACAAGTGTAAACGTTCCGCGTGGTTTCCCGCTTTTAAATATTAATATTTACCGATAAAGCGTAACGGAATTGACGAATCAGTTGATGTGCTTTCTCGGGGGTTGGGTCCCCAAAATACGCTAAGTCCACGTTACCGCCCACCTAAAGGGTGCAACATAAAAGCTCGTAAGTGAAAAATTTCCCAACACTCGATCGGTACCGTGACCAGGTAAAGAGGTAATGAACTGACCGCATAAATAGTTTGGAAGCTTTATGGCACATCAATCGCTAGTGAGAACGACTCACGACTTAAATTCTTAATTATCCTTTAAGGTCCCGACCCCCTTGTTTATCTACAATTGTTACCAAACGAATTCAAATCGACTATTTTCAAAAATATCAGTGTTTGTATGCAACCGTATCATAAATCTGATTGCCAAATTCCTAACACAGATGATAGAAAGTATACAACATAAATTTCTCTGTTTTATTACATCTAAAGCAGGGCAAGCCATATCCAATGATTGATCATAATTATTTTCCCATCTTGAACATTCTAAACCTACTATCACTCCATACTTGCGGAACTATTGCAGACATAACTTTTCTTTATATAATAATTTTGATCAGAGATATGAGATGCCAATCTCTCTTAAAATCACTAAATTTCTATGCACTTCAGAGACCTTTTCATTTCACGCGTATTTTTATGCCACAGATTGATGCTTCTAAATATGTAAAGACTCTTTTTCAAATTCAACGAGCCAATTCAGAAAAACTTGTTAACATTATTATAAACCATACTATTTGTAGTTTTTATCGTTTTATTTTTCTTTACTGTATTATATGTATACTCAGATAAGGTTACCCGTACAAAAAATTATCATTATCATAACGACACCTTGATGTTCATATTTAGAACTTTTAAAGCAGTGTGTGAAAACGAGGGACCAAAGGAGACGCGGAACAAATTTTTGTATTGTAGAAAAATGTAAATGATAAATATCTCTTTTCCATTAATACATTCGTCATGAAAGTTTAACAACTTTAAAAGTCTGCCACTTTACATCATATACTGTCACTTTATGCAACTGTGGCGACTATTGTATCGCCACTACAAGGATAACTTTAAGCTTTCTATTTTTCCATTTTTTCAGAATAAATGTAATAATGAAATATAACAGATTTTGAAGAATAAAAAGTTGAAATCCGTGTACACAAAAAATAAAAGATATAAAAAGATATAAATACACCTATGCTTTGCAGTAAGCCAATTTGCAAAAATCATTATCAAACTTGATATCAAACATAAAATTTCCTTATGAATGTATTAATAACTATCTTTTACTTATTGTTTTAACCAAAAAATCATACATTTATAACGAATCAAAAGAAAAAATATCTATTCTATACAAGTCATACTTTTAATTTTTTTAAATTTGTTTAAGGGGCTATTTTAAATTATAAATCTCGAAAACTATTTTTTATTACTCACTGCAATGTCATTAAATGCAATTTTTTCCTATAGGATAGTGATTCTGAATAGTGTACTGCAAGATAACTGCAAATAAAAATACTTTTTAACTTGTTTTGAACACATGAATTTTATACTTTTAAATTGTATCTTAAAAGTATTAATAATCGGTAGCGTCGATTGTTACTGTTAAATAAAAATGGTGTTTCTCGATGATTCATGCACATTTTTATGTGCATGTAGTATGTATTACTTTATAATATTTAGTGGTTTCCAAAAAATTCAGGTCTGGCCCATGAGAGGGAGGGGCGTGTACCTTTCGTTAAAAATCTCTGCAACTCTTGACCTGCGTTCGTAAGAGAAAGTAATAAAATAACAAAAACGTTTCGTTACCGTCGAAACTTAGAATTTTGTTTGTTCCTTTGAATTTATATTTTCTGCAAGTTACAAAACACTAGCCTTTGTGTCTGCTGAACATGTGAGGTTGTTAAACTGAAGGAGACGGAGACTGAATCTCATGAGCCTTGCGAAACCCGCTAACCGTAAATTTGTATACGTTATGTCGTCTACCTTTGTTCTTAAGACAAAAATGCGCATAACAAAAGCTGTTACAAATTAAATGTGTAAACTATTTTGTCCTATACGTTTTGTCCCAAAAGTTCACAAACTTCTTTTTTATAAAAGGTACTAAATAGTTAAATCATTTGTTGAAACTAGGCTCAGTCTGATTTAAGTACGAAATAGGTGTCATTAATCGTGGTGCCATGAATGACATGTTTTTTAAAGCTAGGCCGTGAGCGCGTGCTATGTTTTAACTTCAAGTATGTCGCGGTGTTCGGCTATCCATAGTATTCATTTGATTTGGTTCTCCGAGCCTATTTTTTTATTTCCTAAATTTAAAGCAGTTTTGCATATTACCAAACATTTAAAATCATCAGACTCCTCGGACTAATTTTTAACAGACGACTGTCCTGGATCTCCCACATAAAACACTTAAAATATTCCTGCCTAAAAAAGTTAAACATCATTAAAATTCTGGCCAATCACAATTGGGGCCTCGACCAAGAAATCCTACTCAAAACATACCAAGACTTAATCCATTTTATATTAATTAATACCACACATGTCCAATCAGTGATGTGCTATTTGAAGCTGGTGAGATGTCACAGGAGCAGAGAAGAAAATTCCTAAGTATAAAATACACACTCAAAATGTCATCTACTTCCAGCAGCCCCATGTATCACTATATTCGACAATAGATATTATGAGCTATACGGGGAAAAAACCAAAGCTGCCATCGCCACTGTATGTTACAATTAAAAAGTACCTTCCCTCAATTACGATACAAAAAACGAGTATTATAGAACGGAAGCAAGACGAAATCTCCCCCTGGCGGACCAAAACCCCGTAAGTAGACACTACTCTAGCCAACTGCAACAAGAACCTCAGATCAAGCCTCGAACATAAGACGAAGTTTCTAGAACTAGACAGAAAATACAGATCTTGCAAAAAAATTTTCACTGATGCATCTAAATCCAAACAAGGAGTACTATACGCCATTATTACAAATGATAACGTTATCAAGAAACGTCTACCTATTCGAACATCTATTTTTACCGCTGAAGCCTACACAGTACACGACGCACTTAAACATATACACACCTCTGATTCTCAAAAACCACGCAATTTACACTGATTCCATGAGCGTAACCCAAGCCTAAACGAACACCGACAAAAGAAACCAAAACGAAATTATTAAAAATAGCTTAATGCTGTATACGAAACTTATCTCTTCCAACAAAAAGATATCTATCATATGGGTCCCCTCACACCAAGGAATAACTGGCAACATCCAAGCTGATTCGAAGGCCAAAGAAGCAGTCACCCTCCAAATGGAACAACGTCCAACCCCTATCCCACTTCAAAAAATCATTCATCATGAAAAAGAAAAAATTAAAGACGAATGGAACAACATATGGAAATCGAGACCATCAAAAATCCATAGCCTAATCACAAACTTTTATCATGATATCCCCCGCGGCCACATGAGCAGGAAGGAAAGAATCGTACTCTCTCATTTGAGAACTGGCCATTGCAAATTAACACATGATTTTCTCATAAAAAAGACCGACCCTCCCTTCTGTTGCGAAGCCCCATTTACAGTACACCACATTTTATATGACTGCCAAAAACTTTCTACCCACCGACTCAAATATAAAATCAATTCTAACACGGCCCTTACGTCCGAAGAACATGTAAGAAACACCATTGAATTTCTTAACGAAACCAACCTCTTCCACAAAATCTAAGACCAACACAAAAACCCCTCGCTAATGACTACGATGTTGTTGCGACGTAAAACCTTATATAAAAAAAAACATTTAAAAGTTTTTGATCGTGTCCTTTTATGCCATCTCGTACAGAGTGTATCATTATTCAACAATTAACAGGGCGTGTAATAAATAAATTGTTTACTTTCGGACTAAATCTGGATACGTGGCAAAACAAAAAATAAGCTACTAGTTGTTTGCTTTTAAGGGTTCTGGAACCAAGATGCCTCCGTGGCGCAATCGGCTAGCGCGTTCGGCTGTTAACCGAAAGGTTGGTGGTTCGAGCCCACCCGGGGGCGATTTAATTTTGTTTTTCAATCTTCCACATACAATATCAACATGATTTCTATATTTACAAAAAGAATTACTTCCCTGTAGTACTGTGATATTACCGGGGACCAGTTAAATTAGGATAATACATATGTCTTTTGCCATCTGAAACAGTAATGACCAGACTTGATCGAATCCAGAGACTTTTTTCGACAATATAATTACATTTTACTGTTTGACATAAAAATAACGTAAAGAATTGCAATAATCAAGTACAATAGTGGAATCTTTCAACGGTCATTAATCGTTTAAGGATTCATAAAGAGCACCTCGGAACGCATAAACAACAAGCACAATAAGTGAATATAAACGACAATACGATTCAGAGTATTTAATAATGATTTTAAGTAAAAATATTTATAACTAGAGAAAATAATCGTATAAATATTTATATTGTTATTAATGAATATAAGAATAGTGTGAATACAGTATGCTACTTCACAAGCACACACACAAGTCTAAGTAGAAAGTAATTATTAGGAGTATAAAAATATAAATGATATACAAGAAGAAGTTTTGTATCGGCGTCGTGGCTTAGTTGGGTAAAGCGCCTGTCTAGTAAACAGGAGATCGTGGGTTCGAATCCCTCCGAGGCCTTATTTTGTGTGGTTTATAGTTGAACAATTGTTTAACATTCTTTTAAATTACTTTTTGGCGTAAATATAATTCCATTCATACACCTAGTAAATAACATTTAAATATTACTATATAATTATATAGTACTATTTCAAACGAATTAATATTTTAATATACTTTGTTAATATATCCAACTGTTAATTTTTGTACAATTAATTAAATAAAGAATTGACTACATATTAATTTTCCAATATTTTCATAATATGCAATTATTTTTACGAAACACAATTACACCGAAATATTTATTTAACTTTATGAACAATCTAATGCACAATAATGTGTAGTTATGATCATAGCGATGTTTATTAGTAAATAAAATAATAATCAAATTATTTTTCATAACTATTAATTATACAACATATGAATACAAAAAATTAATAAACTAACACTTCGTTAAATCAAAATTTTTAATTCATAAGAGGTCAAGTGTTTTGACATTATCGATATGAAAATGGAATTACAACCGTTGTTTTCATCAAAGGATTACTAATACGTTTAACATGACATTCTTGCATAACAACTGTTTTTGTTACGTATAATTGCAAAGTTTAGAAAAATAATATAATGCTATAAATATAATTACAATACTATTTAGACTCAACAGCAAAATACACTTCACTTTCACATTGTTTTACGAATGTTACACTTATTCACAAATATTCATATTGAATAAATAATTTCATATACTGAAGTGAACTGTTTCCAGATTCAGCGGCAGTGTCGCCACATGTTTCCAATTTTACAATGTTGGCCATTTTGCGCGCCACTAGTCTAGCAAGGAACTTCGTTGTTGTTGGCGGTTAAATCGTTTCATGTCGTTATAACCCTCTTTCACGTGAAAATGAGTATGTACACGGATCCGTTGAGTTTAAACGAACATCGTTTATTTCAAGAATTAAAACACAGTTTACCGTCAAACATCAAAGACACGCGAAATATCTTAGAAATACGTGACAATGTGTTATATGTGTGGAACGCGAAGGATTTTTGTGTGGTAACATTAAACGTTGCCGCAACGTATGGAAAAATTGGAGAAGACGTTCCATATCAAGTGAGTAATTAAGTTCTAATCAATTATGAAGCCTTGACCTTTGTTCGTGAATAAATTAACATCAAGAGTACAACGTGTTTTCGTACACGTTTGTTGTTAAGAACCTAACCTCAACAACAGTAGAGGAAAAAGCGCGCAAGCGTCCGAATGTATTCTTTTTATGTTACAAGACGTACTGGATTAAAAATAGATACATTATTGCTGCAATTTATAACTATAATCTATGTCGAGTTTTAAGCATACAGTGATTATTCTTCATAAGAATTACTGCGTTTACGCACATCGATAATAAAATAGTTTCTTTTAACTGACATTTCGTATTATTCAAGGTGCTTTGAACTTTATGGAAGAGGTATTTCCTTTCTAAGCCGTCTGTAGAATGTAATATGCAATTGAACAAAAACTGACAACTTCGTTTGTTTTAAAAGATTAATAAACTTTCGCTGAATTAAATAATTACATAATTAAACTTAAATACATATGTGCAATATTATATTATCACAATGTTTTTCATGATTTTATTCTACGATTTATGAAAACCCATTTGTATTATTCGAGTTTTCAATCATCCATGGTAGTCTTGGTCCACATTACCACATATAGTCAAGATTTTACTGTATTATAAATGATACATATTTTATTGTAAGAAATATGATTTATTACTAAGGCATAAAATTATACACTAAAATTGGTTTATAAATTTTTGGCTCTTATTCTTTTATAATTTTATATGTATTTGAAAGACGCATTACATAGAGTTGCTATTGTATTTATAATTTTTAAATATTGTCAAGTATGTCATAGTTTGAATAGATTACAGTTAAATAATGCTAAAGGTATACATATTACATTGAATATTTATTGAATAGATATACAGGGTGTTACGTTCAAGTGTGAACGGTGGAATATCTCATAAGGCATTGGAGTTATTAGAAAAAGTTTTTTACAAAAATTATTTCATCTGAAGGGTCACATTATATACTATAAATTTTTCTTGCGTAGGTCTAGTGGTGGGGGAGATTTCAAGGACAAGTCAATTTTGTAAATGGAACTACATAGTTTGTTATTTATAATATTATCGTGTTTACTGAGACAAATTCAACAACCTACTATATGATATTATTCCTTGGCACAGAGCTATAAACTATTGAGATGCAGTGTTAAGTTGTTGGCTCTGAATGGCTGTGCTATTTGTTTGTATCGAACCGATTCAGTTTTTAATCAGTTTTTCCTCCGATTGTAGAGATGCTAATCTTGCAGCTAATGAGAAATTATGAATTATTCGAAATGTCATAAATGATTATTTTTATTTTTTACTTATCACTATTTAGTTTATAATAACAAGAGTTAATTAATGACGTTTTATATACCTTATTCTTCAACATGTCCACCATCGTTGAGTGTACACATTTCGAATCTTTTTAAAAATCTCTCAAATTAAAAACACTAAGAAACTAATACAAAAACGCTAATATTATTGTATAAATTAAAACGTGTAGGAACACGATTAAGGGAAAACTCGCAAAATAATTTTTGGACAGGGATTCTAAGAACACAAATGGACATATATTTTGTTAGATATATTTGTGCAAAAGTACAGGCATGTTTCAACTTTCCTTGTTAACTCCGACCGACTAGCAACGAATTAATTGAACCCATGCGGATAACAGGATAAAGGATAGATCATTGTTCCATTGTTTCTATGGAGGAAAGTTTCTCGAAACTTCGATTATCAAAGGACAAACATATTAATTAGCCGCGATTTTTATGTTCTATAACGGAAATGCTTCTTAAAGTTTCGATTTTTAGCCAGTTCGATTATTGATCGGTTGCGACTCTAATTTTTGACATGATAACCGATTTCGTGAACGTTCGATGGCAATTATAGGCGTCGTATTATTACAAATATTCTTTTTCCGATTTCTTCGTTCCCTAAAGGCACTTTTTAAACTAACTGGTCGAAGATGAAGATATAAACAGAAACTTAATGATGATAAAGGGCTATGTTTGTTTATACGATACAATCGTATAGGCGACATTCGGTGCGTTAGTTACTGCAGTACGTAGGTTTCAACTAAAAATTTCTGCTAATTCAACTGAAAATTATATTATGTAGCAGGTCAATGAATTTGTCTCAGTAAACGCAATAATATTATAAATAACAGAATATGTAGTGTCATTTAAAAAAAATTAACTTGACTACTACTAAACCTATACAAGAAAAATTTATGTAAAATAGAATTCTTCACAAACATTAAATTCTCAACCTATGATGTCTGTGAATGTTTTATTAGCAAGAAATATTCGCGAAATTTGCTCTTTGATTTTAGTAAAACTTTGCAGATTTGTAAAGTGACTACAAATAAGGCATACATAGATATCTGTGTATAAGCGTCAGCTTACGATCTGCTCGAAAAATTAACTCGTGCTCGAATAATTAACACGTGGTCGAATAATTATAGATATACAGGGTGTTCGGAAACTGGTGATACAAGCGAAAAGGGGGTGATTCTTCATGAAAAAATAAGTCTAAAATATATTATAGAATAAAAATTTTTCATGTGAGGCTTGATCATGTCTTGTTATAACGGATCTCGCTGTAGATCATTGTCTCGATTGAAGTTTATGTTGATAAACACTTCCAGTGTCATGGAATTGTTTATTAACTTAAACTTAAACTTAAACTGCAATAATACCCATCGAAACAATCATCTATAGTGGGATTCGCTATAACAAGACATGGTTAAGTGCACGCATACCCGGCGAAAATTCAAAGTCGATTTTCTCGAAAACGAAGTATCACATGAAAAATTGTTATTCTATATTTTAGACTTATTTATTCATGTAGAACCGCCCCCTTTTCGCTTGTACCATCAGTTGCCGAGCACCCTGTATACAGCGTGTTCGGCCACCTCTGGGAAAAATTTTAATGGAAGATTCTAGAGGCCAAAATAAAACGAAAATCAAGAATAACAATTTGTTGATGGAGGCTTCGTTAAGAAGTTATTAACGTTTAAACTTCCGCCCGTACTGACGATTTCGGGAGTATGTCTATTCACCAAAAATGATTCTAATTAATCCCCGGAACCGAAAATAATTTTTTTCGAACAATTCATATCTCATTATGTACCCCCTGTCGATGTTTCTTAAAAATACGTTTTTCATTTTTAATAATTTTTTTTAACGCCCTACGGAAAAGCTGGCTAATACTTTTTTGTAGCTATCCATGAACTCTACTTCAGAAAAAAATTTCATTGAAATATATTCACTGTTGTAGGAGTTATGGACGTTTGAAAATTAGATCATTTTTATGGGGTTTTTCTTATTTTGCGGGGTCAAGGAACAACTTTTCGAATATTTTTGGAATTTCTACATATTCCCCACTAAAATACGCGTAGTTTGCATTTTGAAAAATTAAAATCGTCCAATCCGTTCAGGAGTTATGACGTTTTAAAGATTCGCATTTCGGGATAACATTTCTGGCCAGAAATTATATTTTCGGTAAGGAATTTTTTTCTCGAAAACGCGTAGGAATTCTGGGGTATGTGTAATGACAAAAAATGATTGAAATCGCCCCTTGCAACAGAAAATTATTTTTTTAGAACGATTTGAAAAATTTTTTTTGCCGAAAAATTTCAGCACATTCCCGAATTTTTTTCTCGAAAGTGGGTAGGTATTCGGGGATATGTGTATTCACCAAAGATGATTGTAATTGATCTCCGCAACCAAACATAATTTTTTCAGAATGATTTGAAATTTTTTAATAACTTTTTAACGAAGCCTCAGTCAAGAAATTGGTATTCTTGATTTTCGTCTTATTTTGCCCTCTAGAATCTCCCATTAAAATTGTTCCCAAGGGGTGGTCAAACACCCTATATGTATATTTGAGAAAGTGCAGAACGAAAAAAAAGAGGAAGGAAATAGAATGGTCTCTCGCATTTACAATATTGAAAAGTCGCAATAAAGCACACAGTCCTTCGTGGCTAGGAAAGCACACGCACGTACTCTGACCGTCCTTTGTCATTAACTGTTCAGGTACGACTGTCGTATTTAATGCACATTCTTTTCCAACTTGCGAAATCCGAATTCGCCGATAGGGAGCAATGGCCGCTAGTCGCTAACTTCGCGTTTACCGATTCGCGCCCGCATATGTATTTTTTTTACCCTTAGCAATTTAAGCGATAAGAACAAAGTTTCATTTCTCATAATGTTATCTGGAGAAACTACTAGAAGTACAAAGAAATTTTTTAAACAATTCTTTTATGGTTTTGCAAACAAAAAATGACAAAATCATTCCTTTTTTTAAACTTGGAAGTATTATAAGAATTTTCTTTTCAGAAGATGCTAGAATAATAAACAAACTATTCATCTGTATTTTTTATAACTTTATTATTTAACATATACTTTGTCTACAAAAGCAAAAGTCCCTCAGGGATTGCAATTTAGTCAAGTTTACCGTATTGATATTAAAGATATATTATTACTTTGTAAAAGGAGGAAAAGAAACATAGACATATCTTTATTAGCTCGTTCAGATATCAGTATCCTGCGCATATAATATCCTATATTATAATTTAATTAAATATCTCACGATTTGTTTAGATAACAAATACCAATGTTGAAAAATTAATGACTCAGCACTTAGTTGAAGTTAATAATGAAAAGAGTGTGATTTCAATCAGTCACTGACTAGTCAAAAATGTTTAAATTATAGTAATCAACATAAGATCTTCATTATGAAATTATTGAAGTACGAAAGTTTGTGACACAATATTCTTTTATTGCGTAAGAGATTCGTTATCAATGGATCATAACAAACCAACACATGTAAATAAACGGAACGATCCGTTTATAATTACCCACTTTTCTTATGCTTTAATTATAAAATACTTATAGAAAAATTTGTATAACACAAGGCGTAAGAATCCTTGTTCTTCTAAGGTGTTAACGATCATGTGAAATGAATAACGACATCTCAAGCTTTGTTAAGAAGTTCCTCGATAATCAGGATCATTAGCTCGGCATGGGGTGTTCGTTTAACGACGATTATCGCGAAAGCGTTTTCTCGAGTGAACAATTGATTTGGGGCGATTAAACTCGGGTTAAATTATACTCCGGGATACCAATATACAGAACAACGTCCCGCGAGTTAATCGATGTAGATACATACGCGCATTAGTGGAAAATGATTACATGGTAAATGAAAGGGAAGCGGCATGGCGAACTCGCCTCGCGGTGAGAATGGGCAGAACGTTTCATTCTCGCTTGTGCTTTTATTTCATTTCAATGGTACCGTGGGATCAGCGGGTACATTAATGCCTAGCCGCGTGCGCGCACCTACGCGCGAGAGACCAAAAGACCGGTGAGGGGATAATTTATAGGAAATGGGTTGTTCGACGCTCCGGAGTAATTTAATTAAAATAAATGTCCGTACCGCGGAGGAACGTTACCCACGAACCCGCGGTCCACAACTGCGAATAAAATGCAAATTCAGACCCTTCACCGGGTTACGTATGGGTATTCGTAGCTAGGCAGATAAAGAGTACGCGCCGAGGGGGAATACAGGAGTCTTGGGGATGGTCCGGTCCATCTCGCTCCTCAGGGATCGATCATCGTTTGCTCGTCCATTGATTTGATAACTGAAAATCCTGATTACAATTTTGTTACTTCTGTGTCCTGAATTGTAAGATTATAAACACAACTTTTGGTGGTCAAGATGATGAACGATACAATTTTCCTGAACAAAAGTTCGTGATCCTTGTCTTTTCCGATCTAAAAGATTTCTTATTCAGGGATAGATATTATGTACAAATGTTTGAAAAAGAGAAATGCTATGGAAAATTTTTGATAGCTTGAAAGATAACGATAGAAAATAAATACATCAATGTCCAACGTAATTACCTGTTCTGTATGTACTTTATAATAGTACATAAAATAAAACTTAATAGAATAAAAATTCGTTTTTCGTTTCCCGTTACGGGAATGAAAAACAAAAGAACCGCCGTGGCGAAAACATCATGTTATATGAATATAGAGTATTTAACTCTGCAATATGTAGGTACTGCCTCTATCGCATAATCTCGTTAACACTACACACGCTGGAGCACTGTACATCCCATAAAATAAGTAAAAATAAAATTTAACGCGTTGACCGCCAGACTAATACACGTGAAAGTTTCTACAAGACCAAGATTTTGCTTTTAGACAATAGAACTGTGTAACCTAGTATAGTTAGCCATAGCACTTATTTTTGTAAACTCATAGAAATTCATGAATCTTATCCAAATTTATTTTTTTTAACATTTTACCTTCAGAATTAATCTTTGTAGTTTCTTAGGAAAAAGTTCTGCTGCCCATATACAGGGTGTTCTGCCACCCTTGGTAAAAATTTTAATGAGAGATTCTAGAGGCCAAAATAAGACGAAAATAAAAATATCAATTTCTTGACTGAGGTTTCATTAAAATGTTATTAAAAAATTTCAAATCATTCTGAAAAAATTATTTTTGGTTGCGGGGCTCAATTACAATCATTTTTGGTGAATACACATACCCCTGAAATCCTACCCACTTTCGAGAAAAAAATTCGAGTAGGTATTGAAATTTTAACGCGAAATTAAAAAATTTCAAATCATACTGTGGCGCTACTTCGCTGTGGGTAGGATCTCGGGAAATTCGTAGGAGGCGTGAAAAGGAAAGGAGGGGGAGCGTTTCGTCCGGGCCTGTTAGTGAACTTATCAGTAAAAGGCTTTCTAGCAGACCCTGCCTTAGACGACTGGGATATTAGGAAGTCGTTCGAGGAATGTATACAGGGTGTCCCAGCTAAAGTGTGACAGTCGCGATACTGCAATAACTATTGATGATACGGAAAAATTGTTTATATGAAAATTGCAGTATAAAATAGGATCTTTATTCTGGCGTAAACGGAAATTTTATTTATGTTATTAATTTCAAAGATACGATGATGAAGTTTCGTTTTTTAAATGGAACTATATATTTTTTTTTTTGATCATGCGATAGTGTTTTTCAATACGAATTCATTAACCTGCAATTTATTTACCCGATTTTCATTAGTTTTCAAGATATAACGCATGGAAATTTACTGATTTTCGGCGAAGACGTCTCGGCTTGAGTGGCAAGTCATAAAAGCGGCCCTATTGTTGCGCTGTTTGACTCCGCCTGTTGAAACCGATAGCAAGGGTCTACGCTCGGAACGGCAGGCCCGAAGAGTCAGAAACATGAAAAGTATTGTCCATCACGATTTAAGTTTGTCGCATCGAGGATGGTGATGTCGCTAATAATTTGGATGATTGGAACATTTATTTAAATGTTTCAGCTGAATTTTATTATACAAAAAATTTATTCTACGTGTCTCCTGCTATTCGAAATACATGTTTCAATTCGTTTTACAAGTTTCTTTTCCACGTTTATTAGAATGTCCGTTGGAATATTTTCACACACAGCTTTAAGTCTGCAGTGCTTTGTAGCGGTGTTTTATAACTCTTGTTGTATGATGGAAAAACTTGGACCTTGCCAAACATAAATAATACATCTATTACATTTTACCGCTAATAAAAATTCCAACTTCCCGAAAATATCTAATTAGACCCGCTGGTCTTTTATGAGTTTGCTTTTCCGCTGCAATATATTGAAATACACTGTTTAATACGTTTTATGAGTTCTCTTATGAATCAATTTTATATTCCTTGCGAATTTTTCATTCCCTTCAGTTTACTACCCCTGAAATCCGACCTACTTTCGAGAAAATAATTCGAGTAGGTACTGAAATTTTTAGACAAAATGAAAAAATTTCAAATCACACTAAAAAAATTATGTTTAGTTACAGGGGT